GGGAACGAGTACTTGAGACTTTAAGCCCATTTTCATGGCTTGGTCTTTAGACAGTTTTTGATGTCTAATTCACTCGAGAAGGTTGGCGAGTGAACCTGCCGCCACAGGTTTCTCTTCTAGCCGCTAGGGTGTCACCAATGCTCGGGCGTGGCAGTCAACGGGTTAAAGGCCGACCTAGAGTAGTAGCGCACAGGCGAAGAGACTGTTGTTGCCCCGGGAAGTCCCTGTGCCTACCTCAAGCACGGCCAGGATGGTCTCGAGCTGGTCCTCCCTGAGCACGATCTGGTTGCTGATGCGCCCCAGGCACTGGATGGCCTTCAGGCGCACCTCCTCAATCTCGTCGTTGAACATGTCCACTATGAAGTCCAGCGACTGGGCCGCAAAGGAGTGGAACTTCAGCGCCAGCTTGCACAAGGAGTCCAGGGTGGCCAACCGCACCTCTGCAAAGCCAAGCGCTTTGCTCCAGACCCAAACTGCCCAAGGAAACGAAAACAGTGCCTCTGCCACATCGACCGGGTCGTGCAGCATACAGACCACAGGGTGTCTGCTGTAGCAACCAAACTGGCAGAAAAGGTCCTAAAACAATCAATAACGACTACACTCTGCACCCGGGCATTGGGTAAGACGCTCGCGCTGGAGCTGGGACCGCTCCTATCTGCCGTTCCCACATTGTCAGTGACTGCACTGGAGGGGATTGCGACACCCCGCAAGCACACAGTGTTTGGAGCTCCCAATGGGGGCTCTACGAGTGTTCGCTCAAAATTGGTGGGGCTGCCAACTTGCTAGAACAACGCCATTGGGCTCTCCTAATATATTAACGCAGGCTAGTGGGTTAGGTATATTAGACATGAATGACGACTGTACCATCTACTTCGGGCACTTGTCTGCCCTTGGCGCTATTTATGTACAAGTCTCCCAAAGGCAAACATTAACGTAGACGAGCGATAAAGAAATGTTTCTTGGCAGGTTTCCTCCGACAAGTGCAGTGTCTTCTCCAAATTACTAGCCGACATCTACGGGCAGACTAAATTTCCCGACAGTCAGAGGCCTTAAGCGTTTTCCTTGCCAAGAAATGCCCCGAGAGCGTCGCACTCAAAAAACTGCACATATCTGCGAGGCAGTTTCGCAAGTGACCCGCACGATAGAGTGAGCTGCGATTCGAGGCTTAAAGTGTCGAGATTTCTGTCGCATAGTGGGCACATCCGATAGCCGGGGACTCCAGAACGTTTTATACAGTTTGTGGCTCTGTATCTCGCACCAATGAAAAGAATGACCCGGCCAAATGTAAGAAATTAATCATGTGTTTTTTTATCGTGCAACCAAAATTTTTAGTGGACAGTGCCATGATCGGTCTGCTTCAGATTGTGGACACCTCGTTTACAGCGAAAGCATTTCTGTGGGCAAAACAGCCAAGGAACGTTTGTCCATCAGCTGTTATTTCAGGCAAAAACGAGACAAACATCTCAATATAAGCATCGTTTGTCTCGTTACATTATCATGTCCGAGAAAATTGGTAACCTTGCATGGCATTGCCACTTACCTTCTGTACTGTAGGGGCTACTTCAATGACCTCGCAATTTGGGTGCTTCACAGGTCGGAAGTCTGGTCAGTCAGAACGTCAAGTTGACTCTTTTCTGCGTCGCTACGTATTTGGCAAATTCGATAAACTACCCCGGTTGACTTGGAGACTCGGCGTCTTCCACATTCGTACCCTTTTTCTCGTAGCAACCGCTGGCCTCTCGGCTAGCTTCACTCCGCTCCTACTCTCTTACGCCTAACGTTCCGTCCCTTTCGTCGGCGTCTTTCTACTTTCGCGAATGGACGAAAGGGTCAACGCTCTAACTGTCGACGCAGTGTCGGTGTCGAGGTATTCCAGGCTTATGTAAGTACCTGGCACAGAGCTCGCATAATAAACTTAGAGGAAAAGTCTGCCATTTTCCCATGCATTTCAGGCACGTCAGAACGGTGGAGCACAGAAGCAAATGTCGGCGAGCCCAGATTATTAGAGAACCTATAATAAACTCGCAAGGTCCGTGTCATTTTCTTAGTTTCATTTGGTGAGAAAACAGCTGCATCCTGCAGGAAACCAAGAAAAACTCAAGACGGCAAGCAACCTAACTTGAACTCGTTGCGGCAATACAAAAGTGCCTAAGCTGTCGTCCGCATTCTTTCTGCGTAAAATTGTATTCTTACTGAAGCTAACTCCGATCCGAAAAAATTGAGCATGCCAAGGTCGAAGAGAGTTGGCCTAGTTGACCAAGCACCTATGCCACAAGCTCTGCCGGCCACACCAGGCAACTGTGAAAGAAAACAGAAGAAATAAACAGACAAAATAACCAATTTCTGGAGGAACCTTGGCGCCGCCGGTTTGTCTCTTCCTTTTGTACATTTTTGCGCTGTTTTATCTCATTATGTTTGAGAACAAAAGACGCAGAAGAGAGAGGACTCTGAGATGCCTTGGGAGGACTTTGCCAGCTTCAATGGCTTAAAGAACAATGAGAATAAGAAAGTGCCCAAAGAAAGGATGTGGCGACACTAGACACGGCGTCGCGTGCCAGGAAGGTCAAGACTGGAGCGAGTGTCTGCTGCATTTCTCATAGAGTGCAATTCTGCATATATTCTATTTGATCGGTAATCTTCAGATATTCCCTCTTTGAAGACCGTGCAAGATGATGAAAGTGCCCCGCGATACCGTATTTACTCGCAGAATGAACGTACTTTTTTTTCCGAAAAATCATTCATTACACGAAGTAAAATTTTTGCGTCTGTATTTACTCGCATAATAATGAACCCACCTTTTATCCTGAAAAATCGAAGTAACTTCTTATCTCTTTGCCGGGGTGCCGGAGGTAACCAAACTAAGCTGCGCAAAAAAAAAACAAAAAAAACTCCTCTGTTTTCTTTTCCCCTTAGTTCCTTGGGTTTTTTTTTTTTTTCTTTTTTTGCCGCCTTTTGCAAGCTGTTCTGTTTGCTAAGAAGTTGCTTAGACAAGGGCTCTCCCCTTACCTTTCTTATCTCCTCGCGTGCGGCGCGCGACGCATGACCCCCCTTCCCTTCCCCCTTCCCCCCCCCCCCCCCCCCCCCCCCGTAACCAAACTGCGCTGTGCAAAAAGAAAAAAAAAAAAAAGAAGAAAAAAAAGCTCCTCTTTTTTTTTTTTTTTTTTTTAGTTCCGTGGGTTTTTTTTTTTTTTTTCTTCTTTCTTTGCCGCCTTTCGCAAGCTGTTTCGTTTGCTTAGAGGGCTTCTCCGCTCCTCTTACCTCCTTGCGCGCGATCCCCCGTAACCAAACTGCGCTGTGCAAAAAAAAAAAAGGGAAAAAAAAAGCTCTTCTGTGTTTTTGTTTTCTTTTAATTCCGTGGGTCTTTTTTTTTTTTTTCTTTTTGCCGCCTTTTGCAAGCTGTTTCGTTCGCTTAGAGCGCTTCTCTTTCTTACCTCCTTGCGCGCGGCGGCGCGCGAACCCTAAAGTCCAAACTGTGCTGTGCAAAAAAAAAGAAAAAGCTCCTCTCCATGTTTTTTTTTTTTCTTGCTTCCTTTGGATCTTTGCGAATTTTTTAACGCCTTTTGCAAGGCGTTTTGTTCGCCCACACTGCCCATGCATTCGCGACCTCGCTGCACCAGGATAGAAAAGTGCGTTCATTTAGCGCGCGTGGGGGGAGGGGGTCAAAATTTTGACGTCTGAGTTGGGGGTGCGTTTATTACGCGAGTGAAAAAAAAAGTCGAAATTTTGAGAGCCGACTTGGGGGGTGCGTTCATTACGCGAGTGCGTTCATTATGCGAGTAAATACGGTATATTCAAAACGTGACTCCTGACTTTTGCAGCTGACGATACCGTGTTTCTAAAGCTCATAAGCAAGACACAATACATGTACACGTGATGGGACAAACAGAGAGAGAGATCCTGGATCGCAACTGGCTCGTACCGCATTTCGTGAGATGGCACATGCTTCCAGAACACCTCCGACTGGATGCATTCTGTTTCGGTGCATTAATAAGAGAGATAGGAAGCGCCGAAAAGTCAAGGCGGAGTGGTGTAAGGGTTAGCATGCCCGACCAGATATTGAAAGACCCAGAGTTTGAATCCCGGTGCCGCCAAAGATTTTGTCTTTCGTAACTATTGTCCCATTCGATCGGTACGGTCAATTCATCCGCATATTTTCAAATATTTTTTCTTTGGAGGAAGACGACGAAAGTGCCGGCAAGGCCCTCACCAAGGAACTCGTCCTCCAGGCCGTGGACGAAGGCTCCGCAGGCCCCAGAGCCCATGAGGCTGACACTTTGGGCGTCCAGCTCTTCCCGGGGGGCGTCGTCCGCCCACTTCTGGCCCGAGGACCACTCCCCGCTCTCGTAGCTCTCCTTCTGCCGCTCGTGCGCCGAACGCTTGCGCTGCAACACATACCAGGTCACGGACGGACCCTTTAGCAGTGTCACCGACAGAGAGGGCATCCCGTTCCCTTCGTGGATACCGAGAAATTGGCCAAAAAGGACGTCGCAAAAGAGTTTGCTATCCTAGTGATGGAACCTTTGGTAGCAGGTTCTGTGGCGGGCAAAATATTGCTTCGGAGCAGACGCCAACAAATAAATTAATGATGGCATCGCTATACGAGTTCGTCCTTGATACTGAAGCACTTATTACTTTTTGTAATAAGAGCAGATAGGGTGCAAAATGAACGCAAAGCACTTTATTTAGAAATAAGGCTCGGGTCAGAGTAACTTACATGTACGACGGATACTCAAAAAATGGTTGAAAAATTGATCATACACTTCAGTTGAGATAAAACCTCACTTCCACCAAACTTTTACACCAGGTAGTTTGTATTTATATGTATCTCGCGTAAAATGCCAGTATATCCCTTTTCACGACCCAGAACCGCTCCCTCCAACACCGTCAAAAATCGTTCAAGGATTTCAAGCGAACAGACCACTGGGCATCTCGACATTCGATAAACGACGCCCGTGTCTTCCCCAAGGTAACAATGCAGGCACCTGCTTGACTCAGCGAAAAAGAAACCTCGTGACCAAACAATGTGTTGCACATGTCAGCCCAGCAGTTGCCTACAAAAGCAAGCGCAGCAAGGAACATTGCGGTATTCATGGCCCAGAACTGCTCCCTTTACAAAAAACTTAAAAAGAAAAAAAATTTTTTTATACAGTTAAATTGCGACACACATGTAAAAAAACTAATATTACACGAAAAAAGTTTTTTTTTTGAGAAATACTGACAGTGCGAGATGCGATTTAGTCAGTAGTCACCTCCTTTCCACTTGTTTTCTCTCGGCATTTCGGGTGCGTGAAGGAAACGTGAATCGGCTTCGCCTTCACATTGAGGTGGAAAAAGTGAATTACCATCTCGTTGAGCGAATGACTTCACGCGCAGAATTTCAAATAAATCTCTCGCCGTCAATTTTGCTCTAAAAAAATTTTCTTTCACATAAAATTTATTTTTTGACATGTGTGTCCCCACCATTATTCTTAATAAAAGGCATTTCATTTCTTTTCAGGGGCCCTTTAGCACTGTCAAAGATTGTTGCAGGCGAGCACTAAGCTTCCCACACTTAAACTTAGTTTTCACTTGAAGTGGTGAGAATCCCCGAATTGTGGTTCTGTCTTAGCTCCAGTGCGTTTTTGTAAGGGGTGTTGACGTTGCTGCCTTCAGAGCAAGCATCTGGGAAGCTCCTTCTCTGGGAAGTGGCTTTACCGCACCGCACGCGAAAAGCCGTCGTGTGTTTGCGTAATAAGTGTTACAGTCTAAGCTCATTCAACAGACCTTTTTACAACAGACATTTGGATATAACATACCAATTTGTGAAGTTCGGTTGGTTTTTCTCTATGCACCATTGACTCAACTTCATATCTGCATACAACATACTCCTTTTATAACAGATTGAAATCTTGGTCAAAATCAATGTCTGTTATAACGAGCTTAGACTGTATATTCGTATGTTTTACTTTTCCTGTCTAATTAGTTTTCCCCTTAAGGATATATATGCAAACGATCTACTATGATGTTCTTTCTATGGAAGATGCGTGTAGTTTTTTTGTATGCGAGTGTTCAGTCCCGTTGAAATCCCTTGCGAGGTTGACGGTACTTCGCTATGGATTATCGGGGGTTTTGAGGTTGCACAGTGCATCTCAAGAGGACGAGGACATCTCCTACCGTCGGCGGTGCCTCGGCAGTGGGAGATGAAGCGCGACTAGGGCCCCGCGTAGGCTCGAGAACAATACAAGCTAGACGGCCCATCCAGGCTTTCGGTTTGACCTGGGCCCATATAGAGCTCTAGGTCGCTAGAGTGCAAAGAGGCATGATAAAACTTTTCCCGCGCATAAGTAAATATTCCGCAGTTCTAGTCACCGGCAAGATGAGAACAGCGGGGCGCGTCTTTCAGACACTTGACCTCCAGCGCGCGCCGTGACCTGGCTTCGTGCACATGCTCAAGGTGCACATAACGACTAGGCATCACCGAAGGTAGGAAGTCGGTTCGAGGGAAGCTCCTTTCTGCTCCTCTCAGCTAGTCAGCGTATAAAAGTACCCTGGCAACCCGACCATGACCTTCAACGGACTCCCCAGACAGTGAAGTGCGCGAAATGCGCGAGACGGGACCTCACCCTTAAATTGGACATGAGCTTCTTGTCGAGCGTCTGCTCCAGGAAGTGAGAGCTCACGTGGTCCATCGTGCCCTGCAAAGAGTCGGGCTGAGCGCGCCCCTCGAAGAGCCGTCGAGGTGCAAGTTGCGCGGGGGAGGCCACTTGCCATGAGGGAGGCGGCCTCTATCCTGACGTTCATGGAGAGGTCGCCGATCATCTGGCAGATCTTGGCAAAGGCGTCGTCGGCAAGCCGGATCTGCTCCTGGCTGTTGCGGACCCGCACCAGGCTGCGAGAAACGGATGCCAGATCTGCCCGTCGGTGACTCCGCAGACCTCGGTAACGGCCGAGGGCCCACTCTGTTCAGAGCCTAATGTGCCTGGAACGCGTCTGCAACCTGCGTGCATTCTGCCCGTGCATCGAAAGGGCTCCCAAAAACGAAGGACGTCCCGAGAGCTGGCGCCTCGTGCTGTCGCCGTCCCGGCGGCTGGCGCCATACGGAACATGAGTGTCCCCGTGCACCGCAGGTTCCCAGCTGCCAAAACTTTCTTTGACTGTCAAGTCGGAGAAGGACTTACAGCAGTCTGCGACACTGCCAGGATTGTGGCCAGGGACGGCACTCGTACAACGTGCTCGGGCAGAAATCTAGGTTTTTTAGAATGCGGTAAGTGCACCGGTCGCAGTCGCCTTCTGAGCACCGCACTACGGCTGCAAAACACCTCCTGAGAAGTCGTACGTGGCAGCTTCGGCCGCAGTCGGGTGCGGTGGTACAATGCCAAATAGCACTTAGATCTATCGTTGCAGAAGCTAGCCTTTATTGGCACGCACATGCTACATACGAAAACTGTTCATTTACATATAACAAGAAAAGTGAAGCCACTGAAGTTAATTTATTAATTAAACGAAAACTTTCAGCCTTTCCACTTTGCTGAAGAAGGAAGAGCAGCGGAGCTGTAGCTCCTGTTCTCGATGGTGACTTTCCAGGCGAGCGATCTGCTCTTCTTTCGCAAGGGAATCTGAAGCGCTCGACGCAGTGTAGCTTAATTAAGGCAATAGCGGCTTCGCGGCGGTTACGAAACCATTAAAGCTGCTGCGCACTTCGCCGCTCATTCCGTTCCCGCGCTTCTTCCCCCGAAGAAATGTTGCCGCGGTCGATGAGCGGCGGCGGCAAGCGGACAACCGGCAAACGCAACACTAGGGAGGCTACACAACACTCTGGACAGCTACCGCCATCTATGAGCGACGGCGGCAACCAGAGTTTTGTGTCGACATTTCTTTGCGGGGGACACGATCCTCAAGAAACTAGCCCTTAACAGCTCCGCTGTAATAATGGAATATTGGATGTGACTGAATATAAATATCTCGATGTAACCATATCCCACGATCTCCATTGGTCACAACACATTCAAAACATCTGTTCTTCCGCATCTCATAAACTGGGCTTGTTACGTCCGAAACTTAGAAGTGCTGCCCCTTCCGTTAAATTGCAAGCATATAATTCCTTGGTCTGACTGAAGTTAGAATATGCTGGTATAGTATGGGGCCCGAATACCAAGGTTGCGTCACAGGAGAACTCTTTGCTTCATCTATGGAAAGTATAATAGCTAGATTCCCCATCTTCATTAATGATGGCAAACAATATATCATCAATCCAGCATCGTCAAAAAATTGTGAGACAATTTTTGTCTTTGCTTTATCATAACAGACTACGCATTGAACCAAGCCTATACTTATCCCCATCATCACCTAGGGAAACTAGGCATCATCATCAGTATTCCCTGGTATCAATATTCACTCGGACTAACATTTTTAAGTATTCCTTTTTCCCACGCACTATTAGATTGAAACGTTCTCCCTCGTGACATTTGTTTTGCCCCCGACTTCAATGGTGCTCTTGAGAATCACACCTTTTGAATGTTGTCCTTTCCTGGTGTTTGTACATGCATTTTGTATTGTATATTAGGCATTGATTAAGGAATGTTTATTAGGCTGATGGCGTTTATATATATACATGTCATTGTATAAGCAATATATGGTTACCATGTGTTTCTTCTTTCTTATATGTATAGTTTTCTTGCTCATATGTACCCCACACCTGCAGGGGCCTGTTCAAAATCTGCAGTATGTCTAAAAAAAATTCTCTAAGAGTAAAGTTGCAAATAAGAATTGGGACAGGAAACAGAAGCTATTAGACAAAAAATTATTGGTACGTACAATCATCGATATATAATGCTATCATTATATATCGACCTTTTCATCTGTGTAGCTATTTGACCGGCGGAGAGAGGGTGCTGACATGCTCGGGGCCATTGGTGGCTTCAATTTGGTTGGTTTTGTTTTCAGCGCGCTTGCGGCTGTGTTGGTGTATTATGTTGTTTTCGCTTAATTTTGGAACACAAATGTCTTCCTTGTGGTACACAACCAAAGATACAGTTGTACTATGAACCTAAATTTACATTTTTTTTTATTGAGATCTTTGTCCGGTCACGTTTGTCGTTCGATCGCGCTTTGCGGCGGGACGACATAACTGATGCAGGAGGAGGATTTCCGTTATCTATTGCTGCAATGGCCGCAACGATTCACACTGGTTTCCATAAAGATGTAATAATGCACAAAGACACTGTGCCAAGGCGGGTCGACAATCTAATTTGCCTACATTTTGTGATGAGATGCTGAATCGCAATGAACGGATCGACTCGCAAGTTTAGTGCTCACTGTTTCATTTTTGTGGACACTAATGTTTTCTGAAATTTGCCAATTGGAAAGCCCCCCCGTAATGATGCAGTAAAAAGAAAAGCGATATTGTCTCCGGCTGTTTTCTTCAAATAAATTAAGTACTCGAGAGACCTTTTGTTCATCCTAGACCGAGTATGAAATTTTTTCTATTGGCCTCGCTAAAGTATTCATTAACAGCATTTCACAGCCTTAGGGGGTTTGTTGCGCTGGATTTGGGAAGGTATGGAGACAAGGCCATGGCAGCCATGACCAAAAACTTTATTAGTGTCGAACAAAAACTAAGCAAAGGATGTAAACAGGCCATTGTGGGGCTACTTGAGAGAGACCACCTAAACAGTCTGTGTACAAAAATCAAAGACGAAAATGGGACACCTCGAGGTGTTTTTCTCAGTGGAGACGCACAAGGACGGTGCACCTTTTTGGGTTATTGTATTGGAAAGGGCACCATAACAGGCCCATGTGTCGTCCTTTTCAGTGAAACAGCCGCCCCTGGTACAGTGCAACGATCCTTACAGGATCCAAAATTTAGAACAACTTATTGGTTATCTAAAGGAGCATGGATCTGGTGTAGTCTCTGGCTTGTCAGTCAGCATCCAGCATACGTGTTACTCAGTACCACACACAGGCCTTTTGCTGATTCTTCGAGCAGCCATTGAAGAGCAAGGAACAACAACATGGGATTACTGTTGACACCTTCCTGGAACTATTCAGTGTATACCTAGCAGCGACAGTGGTGGCCCATCAAGGGCAACACTTTGTGCAAAAAAATGTGGCGTGTGTATTGGCTCTCAGGTCGCCCCTTATCTTTGCGATTTGTTCCTTGCAGCATCCGGCAGGAACTTTCAAGAGAACCTGAATGACGCACGGGTGAAAGCCATCTTTAGGTATGTTGATGACTATTTAGTGCTATGCGACACTGAGGTGGAAAATCCGGGGAACGGATGTACAGAAAGGGTTTTGACCCGTTTCCAAAAAAGTTGCCCATAATTTTTTTTACTTACGGAAAACCACTGAATACATCAATCAAGATCCTGGACCTCCTTTTTGAGTTCAAAGCAAGTCACGTCTGTTGGTGGTACAAACCCTGATCATCCTTACGAGCCAGGTCATACGAAGACCATCAAAAGCATTGCCACTACTGCTCTTGTTTCTGCACTAAGCAAGTCCTGCCATCATCAAGTTGATACAAATCTTAAAAAAAAGATTGCCCGACTACGCGACTCTGGTTACCCGAGTGCTCCCCTGGGAGGCGTGTGTGAGAGCATCTCCAAGAAACTGAAACATAGAGAAGCAAGCGGCGAGAAAGCGGTGAATTCACCAACGTGATGCCAAATCGTGGTTGTGCCCTACATCCATGGAGTGACCCACAGGCTAAAAAAGATTGCAGGCAGGCAAGAGATTCAGGTTGTTTGTTCAACACCGAACAAGGCTTACTCCATATGCGCAGGGTCAACAAAGAATGTGATCAATGGAGGATATGTGACACGACCCATAAAACACACTACGCCCCATGCAAAACGAAGGTCGTTTATGATATTCGCCTCTCTTGCGGGAAGAGCTACATCGGACAAACTGGCCAATGTACAAACGATTAAACAAGGAAGCACGCAGCGTCGGTGACCTGTGGATGACCTGCGGATGTGATGCAGAGCTCACCAACATAACCGTCCTTCATTGGAACAGGAACTCCTTGGCCATTGAAGAAACAGGAGAAGATTGCGTGAGCACCTCCTCGATTATGGTTCACAAAAAAGAATGACAATATTTGCAGTTTGCCACATCCCGCTGAGTGGTAAACAAAACGTTTCTTGAATCGCGTTTAATGTGCCGTAGGAAAAAGAAGAAAGTGCCTAGGCTGGTAAGAAGATAAGATAAAAGTCAGCTGCTAGTCACCAATGTGTTTGTCTAGTCCCTCTCTCTGTATTCTCGTTTTTTTCGTGCTCAAACGGTTTGATTGCCAACAGCAATTGCCCACACTTAACAATACCCCAACTGTCCCCGTGATCTGCTAACATTCATTGTCCCCGAATGTCGGTACCGCGGAGCGTACGGTAAGAGAGTACCACGCCAGGACAAACATGTATGTGAATTCTTTTTTTTGTTAAAGCCTTTGCAGAGTGGAATAGGGTGACTGAAGACCAAGTGTGCTCTACAGATGCAGATATATATACATTTTTTTTTAAACTGTAACCTCCCCAATTACGCTTCCGGGCAATGCCAAGTAATCTTTGAATAAAGAATAAAGGAGAACGTCCCTGACAAAGTAAAACGAAAGAGAGAAAGCAACTTTACTTTGTTTACGCATATCCTACCAATTTCTGTAACTCCAAAGTCAAAGTACATTCGTGCGAAAAGAAAACTGTGGAGATAAGAGAGTGAAGCTTTGTTTTGTTTACAAAAAGCAGGTTCGAAAGTACAAAAAAGAATCGAAATGATAACACCAGCAGTAACCCATCCGGTGATTGCGAGGTCAACAAAAATCCAATATCCTGGAGCGCAACTGCGGAATGTGAGGTCAAAGATGTTTTCCTTTGTTCATAGCTGAAAGCAACTCCTTTGAGTCCATCTCCACCGAAATAAGGGCACCGCGAGTACCCGGTCCTTCTCCCGGAACGTCCCGACCGTGGTTGGTAGTGTCGTGCGATGTTTGGGACATAGGCAATGGGCAAATAAAGAATGGCCAGAACACAATTGTTTCTCAAGAGTCCCATTTCAAGCTCTGCGTTACCGTGGTGTCCTCGACGTAGGAACGCCGCCTCAACCCACGTTGATAGAACGGGAACGCATAGGTACCCACCAAACCAGAAAGTTGCGCAAGAGTCTGCTCCTCGCGATTCCTCAAGGCGCCCGACTTGACCCACACCATCGTCGGCTTTTCCTGCCGTGTTTGCACAAATCTAATGCGCAGTCTTTTCGCCAGAATAGGGGCGCCCAAAAATACATTAGTGTTGCAATCGAAACCAAAAAACCCATCACTCCAAAAGAAAAATGCTATACTCGGTACGAGGTGGTTAGCTCCACCGCCATCGTGACGTTTGTTTATGTCATATGTATTTCATTTCGGTATTCGTATCAAATGCATTCTCTTACGTCTACAGACTTCTGCCTGTCGTTAAGATGGAAAACAAAACAAAAATTTGACTAGGAGGCTTTGACCATCACGCTGGCGGGAAAAGAAGACAACGGAGCAGCACTGCGTGGGCTCGCAATTCCAGCGACCTGATAACCTCGCAAAATTGTTTGGAAAACTACCCTCCCAGAGCGACGGTCACGCAGTCGTACAAGCGCAAGAAGCGCGGCATCTAAAACGCTTTAGGCCAAAGCATGTATGACCTCTGTGGACAGCGAAGAACCATCGTTGGACTCCAACAACGGCGACTAAAGCACAATATTTTTTTTGTATCGGCACAAGTTTCATAAAATCTGTTCTGTGAGGTATCTGTTCAACCTTCATTGTTTTACCTGCATGGTAGAATCGGCAGCAATTTTCTTTTTAAATATCTGGGAGCTACATCTATCTGAGCACTAGAATTGGGGGTGCGTTAGAATCGTGCCAACACACTAGTTCCCCACCATTGCTCTCGAAGCTTCTTTCACTCGCTCGTTGTGCCTGCTTGTTTTTTTTGTTTTTATTGCTTGCTAGATTCCTTTTTTTACTATATTTTCTTTACAGATCGGCGAAGACTATGAAGTCTAACAAAGGAATCATTGTGGTTTTGGAAACGTGCTCTCATGGAACAAGCGTTCACGCTGTATGCTGATCAGCAGTGTTCATCGCACGCATGCAAGCAACGGACTTGGCGATAGTAAAACATTGTTTCGCGTGCATTTCGCGTATAAAATGATAACTCACACATAAAAGAAAGGACTTTTTTACTTGCTTACCTTGCTTTCTTTATAAATTTCAGGCCTGGACTCGGGATATTAGGGTAATTTGAAGTGAATCACTGTCTTCATGACCTTGGAATTACCGAAAGTCAACTGTACGAATATTGGGACCATGCATACAGTGTGCTGTCTGCAATGCACTCGTGGGAAATGCAGCGTGCCGACTTGGAGAAACGCACAAACCCGTTGGTTGATGGTCCGTTTTTCCAGCGTCACAAAAATGCCCCCCTCAGGGTGTAACAAATGCTCATTCTTCTCTGACATGGACCATCAACGAGACTAAGCTGCCTCACGACCTCGTCCGTGAAACTTACTGGTCACTGTAGATGTGGCTCAGGACTTCCAAGAGCTTGAGGGCCGCTATGCGAACGCTCTCGTAGTCATCGTCCAGTGCAGACGTGACGTGCTCGTACAGGGACAGGTCCAGCCTCAGTCCACGGCTGTGGAGGCGCAGCTGTAAACAAATGTCCCCATGAAGCCACAGTTACGCCGCTAACATACAAAAACCGCCTGCAGACATATGAAGAAAGCAAACACGCTCCAAACATGCCCAACCTTTCCGAGCGTGATCTTGTTAAAGAATGGACCAGCCACCGAGTGGAAGGTCTACGCTCTAGCACAGAGTCCAACCAATCCAGAGAGAGGCGAGATGCATGGCCAATATAAAGTAGACAATTTAATTTTTGCGGTTGACAGAAAGCTAATTACGCCATGTACAAATCAATTCAGTAATCTGAGTATGACACTTACAAAATCAAGATTTACATATTTAGCTTCATGGATCCTATAGTCTTATTTTATTATTTCTACAATTTTAATTATTTGGAATCAGATGACATTTTCAACCCTAACTTACCTCAATTTAATGAGTGCTCGCATCACATACTGAAATAATGTTTACACTTTGTAACTATTCAATTCTTGCATAGTTTCTTCTTTTGTCAAAAGAAATGTGAAATGATGCAACCTTTCTTGTTAGTATTTTAATATGTATCGTTACCAATGAGTGCACCAATGTGTAGGCTTCAACTGTTATTGGGCTCTTGAAATAAAAAAATGTTCAGCCTTTCCACTCTTGTGAAGAAGGAGGATCAGAGGAGCTGTACTCTATACACTGCCGCAACGCGCACGTGCCCGTTTCCTGTTTCTTCTTGTCCGACACGCCACCGATCGTGGATACGTCTCCGGCGAAGCAGAGTCCCATGAAGTGCACGCGGCGCACGTGACGCCATACGGGTAATCTACGAACTCCCACCGGATCCTCGCCGTCGCGCCCGGGAACTAATCAGCCGGCGTGGAGTGCAGTCGTTGCCGGGCCTCGCGCTTGCGCTTGGCCCCCGTGACACGATCGTCGTCCGTGGCGTTGGCCCGCCGGCGCCGTTTACATTGCTGGTTCTGTTCTCGGCGGAGGCTTTCCAGGCGAGCGATGTGCTTTTCTTTGGCAAGGGAATCTGAAGCGCTCGACGCGGCGGAAGTCGAGGTGACAGCGGCTTCGCGGCGGTTGCGGCCCCATTCACGCTGCTGCGTACGTCGCCACTCCCCAGTCTTCTTCCTCCAAAAGGGTGCGCGGCCGCTGTTTCCGCTGTTTCTGCGCTCTTATCGTAAGAGCGTAGGAAACAGCACTGCACGCTGTTTCCTACGCTCTTATCAGCTTCGGTTTGGAGTCAGGATGGATCGGCCGCGTGCCCTTTCGGGGAAAGAAGACTGGGTGCGGAAGGAGTGGCGATGTACGCAGCAGCGCGAATGGGTCCACAGCCGACGCGAAGCCACTGTCACCTCGACTTCCACTGTGTCCACCGCTTCAGACCCCCTTGCGAAAGAAGAGCACATCGCTCGACTGGAAAGCCGCCGCCAAGAACAGTGATGTAAACGGCGCCGACGGGTCAACGCCACGGACGATAATCGTGCCACGGAGGCCAAGCGCAAGCGCGAGGCCCGGCGACGAGTGCACTCCACGCCGGCTGTGCAGTTCCCGGGTGCGACGGCGAGGTTCCGGAGGGAGTTCGTGGAGAACCCGTTTGGCGTCACGTGCGCCATGTGCGACCGACTCTGGTTCGCCGGAGACGTATCCATGATCGGCAGCGTGTCGGACGAGAAGCGGGAAACGAACGCGTGCGCGTTGCGGCAATGTATTGAGTCAGCGGACGTCACAAAGAACCGGCGTGCAGAACGTGCTGAGATTCCCTGCTCAAAGGCGCGGTGCCCCGGTTCGCGACCGTGAACGGCTACAAGTACCCACCCGTACCGGAGCACCTACTGAGGTTGAACGTGGTGGAGGAACGACTACTGGCGCCTTGACTCCCGTTCTCTAGCCTTCGGCGGTTGACGTGGTATAACAAAGACAACCGGGGACAGTACAGTTGTCACATAACCAATTACCCAATCACACCTTAATCCTTACATTTATATATACTTCATTTCCACCACAGTACAGCTTCGCTGGTCTTCCTTCTTCACGAGAGTGGAAAGGCTGAAAGCTTTTTTTTATGCTTTACTTTCTTACATTTACCGTTTCTGAAAATCTTTTTTGGTACATTCAAAATTCATTGGCATAAGCTTTTGGCCCCTAAACCATGCCGAAGCGTTTACCTTCTTCACGCATCTCTCTGTCCTCCGCAGTTTGCGAAAGCCGTTACGCATGAGCCTCACGACGACTGATAGCAACAGCCGGCATAAAGTGCAAATTAAGTCTTCAGAAGGCTTTCCGAGAGATTACTCCAAATTTAAAAAGGTATGTTAAGCTCACTCGTAGACCAGACACTGTGAAGGCCTCTGTCATAGGCACCAACAAATATTCAAACTTGAAATCGAAAAATTTGGTATGTTGCACCCCGAGGCCAGCCAGCAGGAAGTGTCTCGTCATCAAAAAAGATTTCGATGCCACTCGTTGACAATTTGAAGCTCGCAAAAACCGAAGAAAATCTTCCGGGCAGTAGTCCGGTCACACCTACGAGTGGAAGGCGTCTTGAACGGTGCGTTTAGCTTCCCATCCCGCCCACGAGTCAAAAGTGGCCCCAAAACGGCAATAGTTGCAACCCGGCGTGGTACGTTGTCGGATGTGGCAGTTCTGGCGGTGGGTGCCAGGGGTCCCGGCAAAAAGCAGGAGCGGCGTTCTAGCTAGCGAAGCCACTGCCAAGCTGCACCAGCAGCAGCTGTACCTGCCGCATCCAGGCCAGAGACGGAGGCAGGAACCGAGGGAGCACTTTCAAAGAGGGAAGCCGTACCATTGCGCAGAAGGCCTCCGTCCTGACCCGGGGGTCCTGGTTGTTGCTGAAGTCGCTCAGGGTGGACAGCAGCCCCGAGGCCGCCTCGGGCCGCTCGTCCGTCGGCAGGAGGTCGCTCAGCAGCCGCAGACACTTGCACTTCACCCTGTGGTTGCTGTCACTCAGCGTCTGCAAAAGGCACCACCGCCCATGAGGCCACACTTTGTTGCGCGACTCCCATATAGGGAAAAAAGGCACCGTACATCACCCCCATATAAAGGAAAAGCCTTTCGCACCAGGACCATGCACTGCCGGGTCACCGTAAGAAAGGAAGGCAGCATCAAACAGGTAGCGGCAATACAACAAACCACCTCTCTTTTCTTTTTGTATTTGAGGAAGACAACCGGCTTCCTCCCTACTTTCCAAGGTTACCCTCCTCTCCCAGTGGGAGCAGGACAATGCACAGAGGGACTGCAAAAGGAGGGTAAGCCATAGGCGAGAAGGGCTCACAAACTTACAGATTGTTCTTGCAAAAAGAAGTTTGGAAAATGTTTACAGATAAGCGCAACCATCCCAATACCGTTTCTGCGTCTCCAAGTTTTGGCGGCTGGTTCTCGCACTTATGTCGCAGTCTATCCCCTATATAGGAGGCCATACGTATCAAAAAGAAAAAGCAATAAAATCGAGAGACACTCTACAATCGGCGAAACACCGTGAGTAACAAAATATACAGGGTGTGCGAGGTATTTGAGAAGAGTACTTCAGGGAGCATAATTTCTCAAAAGCCACGTTTACATGAATGCGACTTAAGTGCATCGATTCCAACAGTCCTTCGAGAGAAGTTGACGCGTCAATGTTCACACGGATGTGCATCGAGTCCTATGAGAAGGTGGCACCACACCGTGTCTTTTCGCAAGGTTAGAGCAGCGTTTTCTCAAGGTTAAAGCAGTTACAAGTCGCAAGAAACATCGGAACCCAAGCGGCTTGTGCCCCAAGCCGCCGACCACCCTAAAAAAGAAGCGACGTGGGTATGCATGCCCTGGCGAGCGAGACTGTTTTCAACCACACCACCACCACCGCGCTTCGCCTTGCCAACCATGACTGGACTCCGAGGCCGAGAGGCGCGGGCAGGAATGGCACCAACGTAAGAGCTGCTCGTTCGGCGGTGCCATGCAGTGCTCGCAGCTCTTGGTGTCGCTGTATTTGCTCCGAAGCCTCTAGGGACTAACTTGGACGCGCAAGTCGTGATTAGCGGGGCTTGGACAGGGGCTACCCTCATTGAGCAGCTCGGCTATATTTAGGCTTCGGAGTTTTCGGTTTAAACCGATAAAAACCGATAAAAGTACGCCGAATGCATTTTCAGAAATTCGGTTTTAACCGAAAAAGGTCAGTTTGTAGGTTCGGCATTTTCGGTTTAAAGTGATAAAAACCGATAAAAGTATGTCTAATCTGTTTTCTAAAATTCGGTTTTAACCGAAAAGGGACTGTTTTTCGAGGTGGGTGGGGGAGGGAGAGAGAGGGCTTTGCAAGGTTCGACATTGTGTGACGTCTTCGTGATTGCCCTCTTCCAAGGTTCAACATGCAACAATAGAGGTCTTGGATTGGCCTTCGCGGGACGTCTGTGTCCTTTCTTTGATCGGGTTGAGTGTGTCAAGTTCCCGGTTCCCCCAAAAAAAGTTCGGATGTGGGCTAGTATAAGGTTTTTTGCTTCATGCACTTCAGAGGACATCGAGGAAAGCCGTCAATACCTTTTTTGACACCCTCCCTCAAACTCGTCTGTGGTTAAAAACAAAAATACAATCGTGGAAATGGAGCGTGCTGGTTAAGTTACGGTGTTTGTGGAGAATAACATAGAATGTGTCGTCCTGTTTTCGTCCTCTATGTTATTCTCCACAAACACCGTAACCAAAAATACAATGTTCTTTTTTTTTTTTTTTTTTTGCTGGTTTGTGTGCGGTCATCACCTCAGACGGTCACGTCGTCAGACTAGGAAGGAAAAAGGAGCGCACTGAAGATTACGCCCGCGAATTCCGCAATTCCGGAGTGTGTCCTGACGGAAGTTGTAGCGAAGACCAGGTATGTATATGTGTCGTTATTCTTTGAGTGATCACAAATATAGCAGCTACAAGGATCATCTGATCCGGTGTCCGATGGTGTTTCTTTCATATTAACCGAAAGAAACGGTGAACTTTTTTGTGAATAAATATACACCGAAAAAAACCGAAAATCGAATTTTAAAATAAACACCGAAAAAAGTACGCCGAATTTCGAAAAAATAAAAACCGAAGACGCGGAACCCTAGCTATATTCCACTCACTTATGGTGCCAATAAAAGCTCGCACTTCTTCATGGAGGAAAACTGCGGGCGACCGCACGGGACCGCTCTCGGCCGACGAGGTTGGCCGCCCCCCTGTTCTCAGCTGTTCATTTGTCCCCACAGCTAGCGCCTTACCATAATCCTCCCCGTTCAAAAATACAACGCGACCTCCGCTTACATGGGCTGAATGAATGCGCATTGGCCGTCTCGATCCACCTCTGTCTAGCGACTTGAATGCGATGCGCTTCCTTAGCGCATTATGCCGTTTACATGACCGCATTTAATGCGACAACTGGATTCGATGTGACTAGGTTGCATTCCTGCAAACGTGCCTCTTCTCTCACTATATCTGTGTAGACACGACTTTGCCTTCGACTGCATCTATGTAATCTATCTAGTGTATCAATTTCAATATGACAGCTTCTGGTATGACACACGAAATGAAAAGGCATGCCATCCTGGTTTCCTTGGCCGCCGAACACAGCGATTTGGATATAGCCATCTTCTTAAACATGTCGAGGTCTTTCGTTTTCAAGGTCAGAAAGCAGCTTTCAGATTTTGACGGGAACATTGCATTCGTGGCCAAGCGAAAGAACCATCCCCAGCGGTCAGATGTGGTCAGGACGCCGGAGTTCGTCCACCAATGACGACACCAAAAAGTCAATGAAGGCCACTGCCAAACAGTCCGAGGTGGCAGAGTTTGTTATCAGGCTTGTGGTGCATGAGGACCTTAGATACCAGTGATGAGGAGTGGGCAGTTTATGTTTATGCCGTACGTGATGAGGAGAGGGCAATTTATGTCCCAAAATAACTGAGGTAAACCATGTCATCTGGTTCAAGTGCTTGCTGAACAAGCTCAGGCACTTTGAGGAACCAGACGTGCTTTGTTTGTTTGTTTTTTCCGACGAGAAGATCTTTGACCAAGACAGGAGGGATGACAGGTGGCTCTGTGCAAGCCCCGAGGAGGCCTTTATGGTCGTGCGGACAAAGTTTCCGTCATCTGTGATCAGTGGCGCAGCCAGAAATTTTTTTAAGGGGGTCTTTTCTTTTGGTGGTTCAACGTAAAAAGAGATAAAGGAAGTGTGTACGAACAAACCCCTATGGAAACAGTTTCACCTCACATTCTCACTGTAATTCCTGTATAACAAAAAGGCAAGTGCACACACAACTTCATACTTTCAATGGCTAAGCAAAGACATTAATGCATGAGTGACCAAAGAGCACACATACAAGAAGTGAGAGTTATATGTAAAGGTTTAGCTCTTGACAAGTGTGAGCGACCGGACAACTTTTTACGATGCAGCTTGTGCAGCCGAGGCGCCTGCTGACAAAGGAGGTTCTGATTATAGCCTTCACTTAATTTGGGAAATCATAAATCAAATGTGCCCGTGCTCTCCATAAAACGAAAACCAGCAGAAAACCAATTCACATTGTACGCGACAGCGAGTTTCGGGGCACTTAGTTGTTTGTTTATTCGGATCTCGTTAACTCGGAATTTCGGATAACTCGGACTTGCCACGCGGTTTCTACAATTCTATGTGTAGCTCAATGGCGTCATATGCTCGTTAACTCGGAAGTATTTTGCCGCGCACCGGTTAACTCGGACAATCCCCTAAGAGGGTTATCGCAATTTTCAGCTTTCAGCCACACGATGCTGGGTGTCTGGAAGCCGTAAACACCCTCTCGTTGCGCCGCCACCGGCAGCAGGACAGCTGCGCGCCAAGTCACGAGAACTGCGATGGCGGCGATAGTGAACGAGCGAGTCGCTGCTAGGCGGCGCTAAATCCCACCCAATATGGACGTAGCAGCCGAACTATCTAGCGTTCACTGAAGCTGCGAGGACAGCGTGACGGAGAGGGCGGTTCGCGCCACTTGCTTCTGATTTGCGCTGCGTTTTGTTCGGGGGGTTGTAATCGCTTTGTTGGTGGGGGTTTTCTGAGCCATCACGCCATCATGCTCTGCAGCTCTCACGCTGCATGCTCTAACACGACGGCCTCATTGCAGCCGCTGGATCAAGGGATTATCCAATTGGGGAGGAGGACGGACCGTGACGCCCCAAGCGGTTAACTTATCAAGTACACGGATGGGGACAACAAATACAATGACGCAGCGCTCGGCCGACATAACCGAACGCGGCGTCAGCGTTCGGCTGGAGTTCGTATTCTCCGGCGAGGGGGAGGAGGGGCTCCTTTGTTTCCACAACGGCCTGCGTGAACAATGCAGCATGCACGATCCCAGCTTCGCACAAAAGCCGAAGTGGGTCAAGCTCGCATTCTCTGAGGATAGATCCGGCACTTAACGTCGCTTCGTCAATTGTTAGTATTTTTTACATTAAACTGTGCCCCGCGCTCTATTGTAGAAGATGACATGGCCATGCCCTTAAGGCCTGCTGGCATGTGCACAGGCCTTGTGTTGAGTAAACACCGAGCGTGGGGAAAACAAACGGGTCAGAGCGCCACCTATAGTTCGATCTCCTGCCCAATACGTTAAGGGCAAGTACCGAAGGCATGTACTGGAACGAATGCTGCTGTGCATGGAGGCAGGCCGAGAATACGATCTTAACCTGCTCAGCGCAGTCCACATTTTGGCTCGTGTCTGGAGCAACACGCCGGCCGAGGTGATAGCCAACTGCTTCAGGCACAGTGGGTTCGTCCGCCCTGACGTTTGTGAGGCCATTCTTGATGCCACCTCGGAGGACAGCCAAGAAACTGCTGAAGAGGTGGATGACAGTTGTCTCGAGCGTGTCCTGCCCAGTGGTGTACAGCTTGCCGATTATATCGCTATAGATCGCGATGTTGCCATTGCTGGTCAGTTGAGTGACGATGAAATAATATCGGGAATGCTCGGCGGACACGACGAGCATGGTTTTGATGATGCGTCCGATCAACCGTCACGACGTCGCACTGTCAAGGAAGCCACAGAGGCCCTCGCCGTGTTAGAAGAATTTTGTGACGGGATCTCCAAAAGTCAGTACGCTCACAATCATTTAATGGGGTTAAAAAATTGACCTTCGCCAACTTTCTGCGAAGAAGCAAACACGAATAACCGAGTTTTTCCAGAAATAAATGTATGCCCATGCAGAACACATTTTTTCCAGTGTTTTTATAGTCCATTCGATAATCCGGATTTCGGTTAACTCGGACCTTTCTGCCGGTCCCTTGCGATCCGAATTACAAGCTTTTACTGTACCAGCTTGTCACTCGGCAGATTAAACGCAGTCCTCGTGGTTCCTCCTGCACCTATCTCGGCATATGTCAATTGTAAAAGTAAGGGAGGCATAGCTCGCATACTGTTTACTCTCTCTTGAAACTCTGTTCACTCATAAGCTGACAGTGCCGTGCAAGCTACGTGCTCAGCTTGACCAGTTGTACGTCTATCTGTCGCCACGTGATCACGCACCTGCCCCGTATACTTGCGTGCAGAGAGAGGGGCCTGGTGATGAAAGGGAAGAGACGACTAGGGGCCTTCAGTGAGAGGTCACCTTTATCTCCAGCCCTCGAGGTCACTCACGAGCATGCGTGGGCCTGTAGCTGGGCACCTACTTTAGCAAGCTCCAGCGAGCTCGCGGAGAGGACTCGGGCACTAATCTGGGCGAGTTTAGCAACAGCTCAAGGCTCAAGCATTTCTCCCCCTGACGTTTCTCTCTGTCCATGAAAGACTTTCGTTTCTTCTTCCGACTTGAGAGGAAAATGGCTGGGATAATTTTTACGCACTTAGATGCCTTCTTGCACGCTTATTTTTATTCCTATTCTGGCAAGCGGAATGGACTGAAAAACGTCATATCAAATGCTTTGTCTTGATAACGCTGCGAGTCATAAAAGAAACATAGAGCACCATAAGACAAAAAGGGGTGATTGGATAGTGAGAGAGATGTGGGGGGACAAGCAAAAAAGTTTTGTGGAGTTTTCTGACCCGGGAACACCCCCCTGACTACGCCTCTGTCTGTGATGGTCCTAGCCATTGTGAGCAATGAGGGTCACGTCATGTCGTCGCACACCTTTCAACAGGGCCTTATTGAGACCCTGGCATTGTAGTAAAACCTTGGAAAGGACGGGTGACCTAGGGGAGGCCATACATCTTTAAACAGGACTCCGTTCCATGCCACACGGGCCACGAGATCCAAGATTTGCTAGCTGTCAACCTGCACGACCATGTAACCCCCAAAAACCAACAAGTGGCCTCGTAACTCTCCAGATATAAACTCCCTGGACTATCATGTCTGGGGCGTCGTCGAGAGAGACCAGCAAGCAGCCCCACAACCCCGAAGAGTCGTTCAAGGCCGCGATTGCGAATGCCATGGCCAACATCAACAAGGACCACTCGATCAGGGCACGCAGCCATTTTCGAAGCCCCATTGAGTCAGTCATTACTGCTGAAAGTGGTTTTATCAAACAAAGTTCGAGAACAAGAACAGCAAGCAGTATCTGTACTAAATTCCGCGCAAATAGTTCAATATTTAGTTGCACGATCTTGTTTGCTGAAACCACAATTTTTTTTTACCCTCTTAACTGGTCAGATTTTTTTTTTTTTAACTGGTTCAAAATGGTTATTGACTGGACAAATTTGTAGACATATCTAGGTTTCGCAATCTTCCTTGAACTGGAACAGCGAAAAGCAAACCTCCGTTTGAACCATACTGCAAAAGTTACCCATTTGACACCCTAATGTCTCGGTCCCTTGTTTCCTGGCATTTTTAATTGATGTTCACATTTCGCTCAGCAACCCTATAATGGGCAGTTTCCTGGCGGTCAATCGACCTCCGCCAAACTTAATAAATCCAATACTGTAATTACCGAAAGCACACGATGAACCTGAAACTGAACGTGCCTCGGGGCCATGTTCGAGGGGGCACCCCTCCCAAACTCAAGCGAGGAAACGCAAACAGACGATAGATTGCGCTCTGCCGGCGCTCCAGAGAGTAAGAAAACTTGGAAGCAAGAAACTGAACAGAATCGTAAAGGGCCTGCGCCACAGTGCCTGAAACATGTCCGACATGTGTCGCGCTATACACGGCAACGAAAGACTCACCTGGCGGGCGAGCTGCACGGCCCTATGGCGGAGGCGCCTGTCGCCGGGCGCCTGAAGGCCGACTGCATGCAGGGCGTCCACCAGGGCGGCCAGGACCCCGTGGGATGTCTCGGAACGGAGCAGCGCGGCCAGGTCATCCAGGGCCAGGCCGGGGTCCAGGGCACCCCCCCGCACCAGCTGCCCCGCCACCGCCGCCAGCTTGGCCCGGGCCGTGCTCTCCTTCTCGGCGGGGAAGCGCTCCAGCAGGCAGCGGTACACACCCAGCACCTCCTCCGGCTGCAACGTCAAGGGGCGTCGGACAAGCTGGCCCCATTCCATTCTAGCCAAGTTCCCACCACAAGCGGCACTCGTGCAACGAGTGATCATTATAATACTACCTAATTATTATAATCATCTTATTTGACACAAAATACATATAGAAACGAGCTTGCCCATGAAAGCTAAAATGCTCACGTGCGGGACCAGGCAGCCAATAAAACACTATGCACCGTTATACGATACTGAAAGCAAAACAAATCATGATATAACAGAACGATGAAGTAACATAATGGACTACTGTGAGAACATATGATACCATTCAGGTACGTTCGTGACTGTATTTCATCTTTATCTACAATTCTTTTTAGAGCGCAGCTCTTAGGCGCCCGTTTCCGGCTTGAGCGCAGCTCTTAGGCGGTGCATTTGGGACGCGCGGTGCATTTGGGACGCGTGACATCACTGATGACGTCATCGTCATCGCCATCGTCATCGCCACTGATGACGTCATCGGCATTCGCATCGTCATCGGTATCGTCATCGGTATCGTCACAGATGATGTTACTGATGACGTCACTAGTGATGATGACGTCAACAGTGACATCACTGATGACGTCATTGTCACGTGACCCCGGTGACTTCACATGACCCCCGTGAGGTCACTTGACCCTCGTGAGGCGACGGCGACGCTGCTCGGAGGGGGGAGTAGCAGACAGGATGAGGACGTGAGGAAGAGGTATACCTTCCCTTCAGTACCCTTCCCTCCTCCTCCTCAAGAGCTGCACTAATTCAGTGTTACAGGGAGTTGTAAACGGCTTCCATTTTTTTTTATCACTTCTCCTCTCCCCTCAAAACAGAAAAGTTCAACTTGCGTCAGGTAGAATATCATTTCGTCCTACACTTCACATATATTTCCATTCTATTCAATGATGTTTTTTTTAGCACAAGGCAACAAACGCGATGAAAACTTGCTCCGATGGATGGAGGTAGTTTCCAGGGTTGGGCAGTATCGCGATACAAATGTATCGCGATAGTATTTTAGAAATACATTTCGTATCTGTATTTCTGTATCGCGATAAATTTTTTTCACCAGTATCTGTATTCCCATATCGAAATACATTTTGGATGTTTCTTTGTATCCCGATACAATCAGGGTGAAATGTATTTCGTTACATTTCTTGAGAAATACTCCCCCCTCCCTCCCTCCTTCCCTCCTGAAAAAAACAAAAACAAATCCAAACATGTTTTTTTTTACTTCTGAGGGTGTTAGGGTCAAGGAGATGCTGGGGCATTGTTACCCTGCTGACCAAGGTTTCTTCCGATTCACCAAACTATTTTTCTATGCGTGCTTTTCTCTCTTCTGAGAAGTGTTGCGTAGTCGGGGACTCGAACCAGGTGGCGTGCCAGGAGTGGAGTCAGAGCATCTTGTGCCGCAGGTCCTTAGGTAGGAATTTCTTGAGTCATTGTTAGCTGGCATCGAATGCCCGCTGCTAACCTCTCTCTTGCTTTAGCGTACACAGTACACACAGTCGGCATAGCTGAGTCACAGTCCGTTGCAGCACGAGCCTGGTGGTGGTTGACTTGAAATAGTAGGATGACTCATGCAGTGAAGTTTAACACATATTCAAATGCGGCTGCGCCCGTAATACTGCACGGCTCAAGGGTACGTCATCAGCCGTCATGAAAGTGACCCGCTGCTCTGGGGACCCGAAACCCAGGAAGGAGGTGAGACTTGGCCTTGCTGTGCCGACCCAGACTTTGTACACCTGCGGCTCGTCTCGAGCGCGCTGTTTCTCGAAGAGCTCGCACCTATGCCGGCAATATCAGGTTGCAATCTACGAGGTCTCTATTTGGAGTGTGCAAGACGAAACTTGGGGACTGTAATCCATGTGTTGGTGGAGGAGGATCGGCAGGAAGGACTTTCCCAACGGGGATGCCGCCGTATTGTTTTTTCAACCGTAACAGAAGATAAGACATCTGTTCCAGGATGCTTCAGGTGGTCCACTATTGTCGAAAATTCCAAACGGCACTGCCTGCACGATCTTCAACGAGGTAACCTACAACGAAAGTATGTATTGTCCTTTCATACAGCAGCGTGGTAAAGTTTCGTGTTCAAGGCCACACCTACAGGTAAAGAATACCAGTTCATTCGACCGTGACATCATGTGATAAATATTGACAGGGGCGTCCTTATTGGACAGGGGTGTGGTGATGCTTTGATCGGATTTAGGATGACCTAGAATTTATTGAGATCTCGAAGTCTGCATCCCTTGTCAGACAGACAGGATATCAGGGAAGGGACCACGGTCAGTCCTTGATGGAATGTTTTTCTGAACCCATTGAAGACTCCTCGTAGTCCGAAATCACTACTTTCAAGGCAAAGTGCCAAGCCTACGGAAAAATAATTTCAGGGTCAAAAACTTCCACTTCAAACTTCAAGCTTCATCTCATTTGGCGTCTCAAACAAATCTGAAAAATGTATTGCAGTATCAGTATTTCTGTATTTGTATTTCTGCCCTCCCTAAAATGTATTCCTGTATTTGTATTTCCAAATACTTTTAGAGCGCAGCTCTTAGAGCCCGTTCCCGGCTTGAGCGGCGTCGCCGTCGGCATAACCAAGGTCACCCCAAGGTCACGTGACCCCCAAGGTCATCCCAAGGTCACGTGACCCCCATGATCACCCCAAGGTCACGTGACCCCCTCCCCCGAGGTCACGTGCCCCCCCCCCCCCCCCGAAGTCACGTGACACCCACCCAAGGTCACGTGACCACACCCCAGGGTCACGTGACCCCTACCGAGGTCACGTGACCTCCCCGATGACGTCATCGTCACTGATGACGTCACCGGCATCCGCATCGTCATCGGTGACGTCACTGATGACCTCACCGGCATCCGCATCGTCATCATCACGGATGAAGTCATCAGTGACGTCACCGACATCCGCATCGTCATCGTCGCTGATGACGTCATCGGAGTCCGCATCGTCATCGTCGCTGATGACGTCATCGGAGTCCGCATCGTCATCGTCACTGATGACATCATTGGCATCGTCACGTGACCCCCCAAGGTCACCCCCCCCCAGTACCCTTCCCTCCTCCTCCTCAAGAGCTGCGCTCTAATTCGGTGTTACAGGGAGTTGTAAATGGCTTTCACTTTTTGCCTCTAATTAAAATGTATTTCCGATACATATCGCGATACACTTTTACAGATATATTTCAGTATCAGTATTTTAGACACCATTCTAATGTATTCCAGTATTTGTATTTTCAAATACATTTTTGAGTATTTCTGCCCAACCCTGGTTGGGCTGCCCCTCATTTGTAGTTTGCAGACGTCCCCCCAGACAACGCCCGTTAACCAAAAGGGTAAATTATTACGAAAGAATACCACCCCTAGATCTCGAGTAGAGATGGCGTTTCCAATCATCCATCTTTCTGACGGGTCTGTGGGCTTTCATTAAAGCGTAGAGGTGACTTTCTCCACGCTGGCTTTTTCGAACTCAGGTCCAACCAATCCGAGAAATCTGATTGGGAGACTCCCAATGTCGGCTTCAGTTTGACCCCGGAAAACTGTTCCCACGGTGTGAATAAGATTCCGGCTCATCTAAGCGATCCCCAACACTCCCGAAGAGACTCGTCCAACACGTGCAAAACTGGGAGAATGTGTACGGACACTTTAGAAAGCAGGGTGGAATGGGTGCCACAAAGTCGTCCCAGCATTCACGCATGAAGTTTGGTAGCAGCGACCTTCTTTCATTTAATCAGTAATACTGCTAATCTCACAAGGAGATTCTAGCAGGTGGGCATACAACATTGAGATAGCATAAATCCGCAAAGAATGATAGCAGGCAGAAAAAACACCCTCTGAAGAAACTTTGGAGCAAAATAGATACATTGACAGTTAAAAAACATATGCAACGGACACATCTGGGTGCTCTTTGATGATTTGAACTGATTGAAAGCAAGAAGAAACCGATGAGGAAAAAGCATGCGTAGTGCGCACGATGAAAGTCATAACGACGTTTGAAAAGAGAATTGGGGATGAAAAAAGCAGAAAAAGAAGTTGGAAAAAGGGCTTCTATGAAAGGACGTTTGAAAAAGGCTTGGGTCAAGGGGATTTGGAAAGGGATTCGGTCGGCCTTGAGCAGCCGGATCCTAGTCCACCGCCGGAGGATAGTCCAGGACAAAGTCCCGGGTCCCTGCTGGGAACCGCACCCCTGTGCTACACAACCCACAAGTCATCGAGGTTCTTCCGCTCATCCACTGTTCCAACCAAGCATGCCCGAGAGACAGAGCGATGACGTCCACAGGCCCTCCGCTCTATCTACTGTGACACGCGTCAATCAAAATTTCTTTCCTAAGTTTTCTTCAGTTTTTTTAGTCGTGATTTTGATATTGCTTTTAAATACAATCCATTTTCCGAGAAAATGAAAAAAAAAAAAAAAATTTCAGCCTTTCCACTCTGGTGAAGAAGGAAGACCAGCGAAGCTGTACTATGGTGGGACGACCTCAAGGTCGACTTTTTGAACGACCCGAAGGACGACTTCTTGGACGACCCCAAGGGTGACGCCTAGAGGACGACCTCAAGGACGACGTTTAGGACGACCTCAGGGACGACGTCTAGGACAACCTCAAAGACGACGCCTAGGCTGACCTGAGGGATGACGTCTAGAACGACCTCAAGGACGACGTTTAGGACGACTTCTAGGACAGCCTTGAGGACAACATCTAGGGTGACCTCAAGGACGACTTCTGGGACGAACTCAAGGATGACTTCTAGGACGACCTCAAGAATGACTTCTAGGACGACCTCTCGGACAACCTCAAGGACGACGCCTAGAGAAATTCAGCCTTTCCACTCCGGTGAAAGCCAGAGTGGAAAGGCTGTAAGGTTGCTGCCATCTATGAGCGAGGCTGGCAAACCAGTTGTCTGGTTTGCCACCTCTTCCTACACACCAATGTAGCTGTCCAGAGTTTTGTGTCGACATTTGTTTGGTACTGGACACAATCCTGGGGAACCTA